AGATCACAGAGAATGTGGTGAAATTTAACTTAAACTAACCATAATTGATTAATATTCATTAATTAGTGTTCTCCATCGCCGCCACCGAACGTGGACATCTTTGTATGTAAAAATATTTGCTATAGAGCAAGAAAAAAATATTAATTTTCTTGAAAGGGTACGTACAAACGAGGAAATAAAAAATAGACAACGGACCATTAGTGTATGGGATTGCGGCATATCAAACTATTGGACTTAACGCTTATTTTTGACATGTTCAAAGGTTTCCCTGGTACCATGTTACCTTACCTCTCATAATCACTTTATTTATTTTTATATGGATTTGAATCCCCTAAATCGCCCTAAGATTAACTGTAGGAAAATGTGAGGAAAAACAGATATTTTAATTTTTATATAGTTATAGCTAACAACATAACAGATTTAGAGTTATTAAATTACACCATTTAATAACAAAACTTATGTTTTTTAAACGCCAAAATCCTATTTGTAAGAATGAACCTAATAATAAATTATGACATTTTTTAAACTTAGAAAATTTTTTTATTTGCCCCATAGTTGAAGTCAATACAACATTAAAATACAAAACGCCAATCTTTTACTTTAATTACTCAAAGTAATATAATCAATGTTACTCTAATCGTATTAAAACCAAATAATATTCAAAATCTTGTTAAGTGTATTATATTAATGAAATAAAATATAATCGCTTTACAATTAAATTTCAACAGAATTATTAATCATTATTATAAATTATAGAAATTGTATTTAATACTATTTCTTATCTTAATATATGAGTTTTATTGTAATAGCATTACATCTAAATGTCACATATAACAAACACCAGCAATCCCTATATCAACTATAATTACGTCCAATCACCTCTCATTCGAACTTCCTTCTCCTCTTTTTTTTTAACGTTCTTAATCATAAATGTTCTTATAGTTTTCAATTTATCTCTTCTTATAATATGACTAAACCATCTAAGCCTATTTTCTTTCATGTTATCCGCTATGGGTGCTACTTTTATGCTTCCTCTTACATATTTATTCCTTATCCAATTTTTCCTCATTACTCCACTCATTCATCTAATCATTCTTATCTCTGATCTACTTTATTGTCAAACGACCGATACTTTAACCCATACAACATAGTTGGTCTCACTTCAATCGTATATATAACTTATCTTTTATAAAAGGTAATATATAATGAGGCTATTACCTCATAAAGATTCTCTTATCGCACAAAACCCAAGATGCTTTTCTCCTCTTGATCCACCCCCACTTAATCCGATGTCTCATATCCTCGTCAACACCACTGTTCTTTTGTAAAAATGATCCTAAATATTTAAAAATTACCACCTCACCTACTACGTCCTCTTTTATTGTCATTACTCTACTTATTTCATCGCCCTCGTATTCTGTTTTGTCAAAGTCTTACTCTATGTATTCCATCTTATTTTTATTCACCCTTAATACCTTTCTATAAATGGACAATCTCCATATCTGAAGCCTTTGGGTTAATTTTTTTCTCCTATTAACACTGTATCACCAGTAAAATATATGCACTACGGTACTTATCATTTCCTTAGTAATTTCATTCTTTATTATAGAAAATAGATAAGGGCTTGAAGTAGAACCTTAGTGTACCCACTTTTACTCTGAAATCGTCTGTTCTCCATAAACACGTTTTACTCTCGTACAAGTATCTTCATATATATCCTCTATTACTTCGACACACGTTTTTGAGACTCCTTTTTTTCATTAATGCCATAAACATTGGGTGTTATGATTAACGCCCATTTTAAAACCTTTTCTCGGCACTTTGTTATACAACTTCGTCAAATCTGTAAACACCATACAAAGCTTTTTCTTCTCCCAATAGCTTTCTAATACAAAATAACGGCTCTATCATTGAATTTCCAGGCAAATAACCAAATTTATATTTACCCAGTATACATTATTGTTGATTATACGTTTGTAAGTACTAAATCCACGGTGTATTTTAAGACTATACTTGGTTTACTTTTTTTACATATTATACAGTGAATCCGTATTATTTTGCTAGTCAATACATGATGTATATTGATATAAATATGATGGGAGTAAATTTTACGTTTAATCCATTGATAAAACAATTTTTTTTTGGATTTAATTGTACAATATACAATGAATAAACAAGTTTTCCACTATGTAAATTAATGTAATATATTATTATTATTATTAATATTAATGTAATATATATTAATATTATTTTTATCATTTTTTATTACTTTCCCTAATGAATAAAGTGTATTTTTCCTTACAAAACGTCAAAATTTAATTATCTACTATTTGTTTATTAAAAATTAATTAATTAAATAATTAGGTAATATATAAACTACCTATGGTAATTTAAGCTTAATTTACTATAGTAAAAAACTTGTATGTTGATACAATATTATTAGTATATATTTACTAATATATTGTTAAATAGATTTTTTAAATTAAATATTTTATTTAATAATATTTTTTATCTATACCGTTTATTATTGATAGTACACACGGTTAAGTAGACGGTTATAACATTTTCAATGCTTTAACGCAGGATTAACTGAGTCGTTATTGATATAGTGTTTGGAGCCGGCTATGTGCCGCTCTCTAGTATTTAATATAATTATTTTTACTTTTAAAAAACTATTATCAGTAAAAAATTGTTTATTTTCCGTTAGAAATTTATCATATTGTTTTACAGAACCGTCATTGTACATAATTCTACAATGTAACTAATCATCGCATTTAATTCAATTTTCTACTTTGCATACACTTTTTTTTTTGATGATATCAAATTCCACGACTTTTCAAATTTATCTTTGTAACATTAATACAGTATTTGAATGGAAGAAATATCAATTATAAAATGTATTCTTTTTATAATATCGTTACAATTTATAACATCAATATTTTGCAAAATTCCCTGATGTAAATAGAAATTCTTAAAACAATTGGTTATTATAGACAACAACACAACTATTAATGTGTATACAAATCATGAATGAATATCAATGGTATTACAGACTCTTGTGAGAAAACATGTCATGTGTCATATTTTAAAAACGGAACCTAATTAAATTTTGATTTAAATTTTTTTTAACCTTTTTTGTTGGAGTTATAATACGAGACCCCATGCATTTGAAGTCCATGGACAATTTTAAAAACTTAGAATAGTTATGAATGAGGCTCTGTATTATAGTAACTAAAAAAAGTATATATATATGGTTATAGGGGGTTTTGGGGCATGAGTATTAAGATGATTGAGTTATTATGTACTTATTAAATAAAAATTATATAATTTAATTTTCTCTCCGGGTATGGGTACGAGGGTTATTTGAGAAGATGTAAAACATAGATTGTTTTCTGTTTTACATTCTTCTGATGTAAAACGTATGATGTTTGAAAATTTTTTAATATAATGATAATATGAAATAAAAATTATAATGATTACTTTAAGTATCAATAACGCCACTGGTACCAGTAGTTATCTAAGCATGTATTGACTGTAAGTCGTGTCAATAAATACTTCAAGTAGTAGAGGAACCGTAAGTGGGTTCTTTAACTAGGCAAGAGAATTTTTATTTGTATTGACAACACACGTAACCACCCCCACTCAAAGTTTGGACTAGGCTAGTTAACTTCGTACAAATATTATCGATTTATTTAATTTAAACAATATTTTATTGCAGTGATCAATTATTTTTCCGATTCTCTTCTTAATTTATTTACTCATTATACTTCATTTCAAACCTTATAAATCATTTACGAAATTTATGTTTACCTTTATGATGTTTGAAATAAATGTACTTCATTTTTTTTTTTTTTTTATAATAATTATGCCAAGCCACTTTAACACTAGTTGAAAGATCATAAAGTGAAGAAGTAGTGAGTTGAAGTGCCAATTTTGAGCCCTATTTATATTAAATTTAACTCGTCTATATGTGCAAGAAGTGTCAAGACCTTTTACTCTTATCTGTTTATCACAGACTATGTTATTTATTACAGATAATTTCGCTATTTTGCGGCAACTAAAGAATTGCTTATAATTATTACAATTATATCAATTCATTTTTTATAAATTTTTCTCAGTATAGCACAAGAAATTTACATGAAAAGGTATATTTTATTTGATAACTAATAGACAATGATTTATATACTACTGAATGATAAGTGGTCTATAAAATTGTTCATACATAACATATCCTTTGATGTTTTTTGTTTTGTTAAATATTCTATTAAATTGGAAACTGTATAATTTTCATCATGAACTTATTAGTATTTAAAGAGAATCTTGAGGGTATGTGTCCTTCCATTAGCAAAACTAGGCTACCAATTTTCTTTTTGTGTCCTATAATGAATACTAAACACACCATAGAGTATTCATAGAATGTTACTAATTAATTTATTAAAAAAATGTAATATAAAAAAATCATTAACTATGCAATTTATTAATAATAATAATAATCATCATTTTTAACACTTGTTTTAATTTTTTTTTTTTAATAGCCTTTATTAAAATAATATTTAACTCAACAATTATAAGCGAACGTAAAAAGTATAATAGTCATAGTACTTTGTTATAATGGTACAACAAATGCAGCAATAATTGTTAGTATTATATTAGTACATTATTTAAAATTATTGTTAACTGAGCCTTTAATGACAAACTGAAAAATTATTAATTTATTAAAAATTTAATTAAAATGTTTAATTGAAAGAAATGAAGAGAAAAAAACAGAATAAATAACTACAATATAATAATAAAATAATTAGAGATTAAATGACAAAGCCAGAACTCCTCAAGAAGGATATGATGGAAATATTTATGGCAATTGATCCAAAATTTTGTCATATAGAACTGTCACAGACTCCCTTTCTTAAAAAGCAAAACATTTTCCCCTTTTAGGACTTCTTTAGAGTTATATACTTGATATAGAATACATTTTGTGCATCAAGAATAAATAACATTACAGTTATAACTAAAACAAGTTCTGATGGATTCACCTTACATATACATATATACTAGGTACAATACATAAATATTTTCTGTATTTTTTTAGAGGGGGCTAAATCTATAACGTCTTGTATTTGCCTCAGTGCATATAAACGGATATAAAATAGATATTATAATGATATAAGATACATAACATTAATTTTAGAGGAAATTTGGATAATAGTAATCCTATTAACAATTTACACCTTTATATAAATATTAAAAAATGAATTTTTTTTTTCAAAATTATTGTTATTTTAGTAGAAATTTAGCAGTCAACAATAAATCAATCACTATGTATACAGGTTGGGTTGAGTTCATAATGAAACAAAAATTTTTATTTGTTTCATAGGTTATTTGGTAAATATTATATTTTGCAATGTCATTTACAAATCTAATTATTTATTACGTAATTTTTATAAAACTTAATTTTTAATAAAATAATTTTTATAAGTTTTTTTTTAAAGCAGCAAATGAGAATGAGTAATTTCATTTTTAAAATAAACTTGAAAAATAGCCCATGATTAAAGAAAAAAAATTGAAAATTAAATAACAAAAAAAAACAATAAATATTATAATTAAAAAAATAACACACAATTAACATTAAAAAAATTATATAAGGGTGAATAAGACTAAGCTCTATTAGTACTTAAATTTAGGTACTTTTACACACATACATATAAATATATATATATATATAAACATATATCTAACAAATTTAATACTTTGTATTTTACAACTACAAAATTATTTAATGTAATATGCTCAGAAGAGTGTATGTAAATTATAAGAATAGTGAATAATAAAATAAAATACATAAATTAACATGATTCAATTAACAAAATAATTGAAATACTTAAATAAAATTATTAAAGGGTCAACATTTGGTTTACATTAGTTTAAATAATTTTCTTTGGATTTCTTAAATAAGTGAGGAAATGGTTTAAAATATGTAAAAAGTACAAAATTCATGACTTTGCCTTAAAAAGGAAATTTTAGATTAATATAAAATAGGAAGTCTACTTTTTGATAATATTTTGTTGACGTAAACGTCGAGATACTCGTGCATTCGAAGAGACAGTAGCCAAAGCATAAGATGGTTTGGAATCTTCTGACACTCTAAAAATAAAATTCATTATTATACAAAATTTAAAATGTTCAATTTAAATAACTATAATTAAATATAAAAATATTGTATATCAACCTTATATTAACAATATATAAATGTATATGACAATCAAGAACATTACATTTAATAATTTATGGTGATAAGTTTATCTGATAACTTATAACTTTATATGTTATTTTCATTTTTAAACCTAGACAGAATGAAGAGTACAACCAGGAAATGTCAAAAAATCACATTTAAAAAAAAAGATATATTCCATGCTCTGACATGTATGTAAGAATGGTATATTCAATTTTTAAAGTAGAAGATATTTTTGTATCTTTAATCACTTTGTAAATCTTAAAGAATTTTATCACTGGTATTTAACTAATAGCTGTTAAATAATACTCATCTTAGCAATTTGTATTACTTACTTAGTTATTTTTGTTTTAGTTGAAGGCGATCTTGTTATTCGAGTATTTGGATTTGTTGTAATTTGAGATTTTGAATAACTTTTGGCCGTTATAGAAGCTTTAGAGCTACTTCTAGCTATTCTTACAACAATAGCTGGAGTTACACTACTTTTCTTAGGAGTTATAAGAGAATGAGGCGCATGACATATAAGCTTTGATGGTGTAATTATTTTTCGTTTAGAATCACTCTTAGAGTACATTGATATTTGATGTTCTTTAGAATTCAAGATATTATTTGAGAAATCACTTATTTTCATTTTCTTCTTGATAATTGGAGAAGTCTTAAATTGATTTTTCTAAAAAAAGTGAAGAATTTAAATATTGAACAAAGTGTTTTATTTAAAACATAATTTCATCTGCAAAATAATAATTACATATTTGAAATACTATAATAATAATAATTGTTAAGCATATATAGATGCTGTCACAAAAAAATATTTAAAATGTATGTTAAAAAATTTTTTTTATTAACTTTAAATTTAACCATTTCATTGCTATCATGCAAGTAGTCAAGTAATTTTATCTTTTTTAATTCTTCTAAAATTTAAAAAACATTAATAATGAAAAATATATGGCCTCATCATAGACAAACGTCTTAGATACAGGCTACATATTACTCATGCAGTCTGAAAGTCATGGACTAATTGGTCTTATATCAAACTTAATGATACCAATGGAGTCACAGCGCAGATTGCTAGTCAGCATTATACTGAAAATATATGGTAACGTTGATTTTATCATATAGTTTAACCAAATACACTATTAACATTTAATCCCTAAATCCAACAAAAATAAACTTAAAGACATGGTACTGATAGTAGTTATAAAATGATCAATTTTTATTAATAAGTAAATTTTATAATATAATAATATAATAAACATTTTTTAATCACACTTTTTTTTTATATACTAAAAATTTAAAAAATATATAAGATCACCATTTTAGATAAAATCTTTCTAAACGTGTAGAAAAATATAAAAATTCAATTTATAAAAATAAGTTTTTAGAAAACTTAGTTGTCAAATATGATGTAAAAAATAAAAAAAATTTGGGATCCTTATCAATCATGTAATATAACTAATATGTGAAATTCTTGTCTATATTGTTGTAGTAATTAACTTGAAAACATTGCCTCAAAAAGGTATAATTATGTATTTCATTATTTATTATTAAAATACGACATTATTTTTACTATCAATTTAAAATATAATTTAGGAAGATAAATTTTTTTAGTTTTAATAAATAATTATTAAAAAAAAGTAATACCTAGCCTAATAAAAATAATTATTAGACTAAGTAAATTCTTAAGTTTAATTAACACATACACTTAACTTAACTGAATTTAATTTTAGCTTAATTTTAAATATTAAGGACTTTTTCCAAAAGTTGATATACCAATTTCTACATTTTTTTTTGGAAAGAAAATATAAATTTCAAATGCAACTTTTTAAAATTGGTAATTTTTAAAACCTACTAAAAAAAATTGATTCATAAATAATTTTGTAGCAAAAAATAGAAAACATTCTTCTATATATAAATAAAAAGAAAATCGATAAAACCATTTTCTTTAACTTATCAGCTTTTGAATATAAGCCCAATATTAATTTTACTTCAAATATTAAATTTTTTAAATTAAATATACTTACTGTGTTGGCGCTAATGTTGTTTATACTAATGTCAATGGTACTCTCACTTGTGTCATTATCTAATTCATTATAATTATAAATAAATGATGATAATGGAGGAGATTCTGTATAAGAATATGAACTGAAAACTGTTGCATGACGTTTAACACTATATATTCCATTTATAAATCTCTTATATCTTTTTTCAGAGTGTTTTATTTGATGTCTCCACTGTTCACCAGTCATTAGTAAATAAGATTGTTTTCTAAAAAAAATAAAATAATTTTAGACATTTTTAAATTAATAATTAGTATATTTATCAATACTTACTTCACTAACCATTGCTGTTGTATGCCTATAACAGAGCCCGGACGACATATTCTAATCCATGCTATAGCTTCAAGAGCTGTAAATGACCAATGTTTAACTATATATGAAGCAATTAAACAACCAGTTCTTCCCAATCCAGCTAAACACAAAAAAATACATTTATAAAAATTGAAGTTCTATTATTTTGTAATCTAAACAAAGATACCTTTACAATGAACAGCTATAGCTCCTTTGATAGCTTTAGATAACACATTTGAAGTGGAGGAATTACAGTTTGACAATGCATTTTGATTATCTGTACATTTATCAATATTTATTTCATCTAAGTATTGCTCACATAAACTTAAAAAATCTAAAAGTATAACATCTGTGGGTGGAGTCCCATCAGGAAAAAACAAATCTGTATGATTAATATTGGCAGAGGCAACAAAAGTCTGTTTAGCATCATAAGTATTTTTATTATTTAATCTAACCACATGATTAACATTGTTTTCAGTAAAATATTTATAATAATAAGCAGGTGAGTGTATATGATAGCCAGCTGAAAATTTTATAAAATTAATCATCATGAAAATGAAAAAATATTCATTATATTACATTTATCTATATAATCCCGGGAATGAGGAGATGAAAATGCTAGCAAAGAGCCTGGTACAATCCAATTAATGTCACCATCTTTAACAGTCTATAAAAAAATGTAAATAAACAACAAAAATTTAAAAGAATTTATTGCTTACCTCATATTTTTCATATTCTTCTAAATCAAAATCATTGAAGTTAAAAAATCCATACCATTTTGCTTTGTACAACGCATTTAAACAATCTTCAATAGAAATATAGTATTCAGTTTGTTTTAAACATGAAGCGTCTCTAAAAACAGTACAATAAATAAGTATAAAATAAAAAATACCTTAACTCTGTATGAAAGATGACAAAATTCTTTAAGGCTACCAAACTATTTAACTTAATTTAATATCTGTATAAGTTATGTGCTAATGATCAACTTTTATTCACTCTCATTGTTAACCTAATCTAATTATTTAAATAGCTATTTTATTATGATATATACTTAATATGCATGTAATCACGGGCGGCAATGGTCTTTGTTGCTGTGGCCTTTATTTCAATTTAAAAAAATATATTTACTATTTATTTTTTGTGTGATTAAATGATAAAAATTTGTAGTCTTAATAAATATTATTAAATATATACATATATATTAATGAAAGAATTGAGAAGGACAGTTTGATTGAGTTACACAGAGAGTAGAAAAAATTCAAATGTCTTAAAAAGAGAACTAATACATGAAAAAATATGTAATATCTTCTCAATCCTCACCTTTATCCCAACCCTTATACTAAACTTTCACTTGACAAGATCTCTCTCATCATCTACGCACACATCAGCCATCCTCATATCACATTCAACAACGTCCCTTCATCTCTTTTTTGGTCTTCTTCTACCTCTTCTTCCTTTAACATTCATTTCTATAACTGTTCTTAATACTTCCGATTCCTCATAACATGACCAAACCATCTACGTCTATTAGAAAATGATATGTATTTAGAAATTATCGTAATTTTTTAAATAGTATACATAATAAGGGTGGTGGTGTATTAATAGCCATTCATAAACATTTTTTTAAACATTACCTTTATATGATCTGGGTATTGAATATTTAGTGTTTGGTATAAATACTGAGTCTGCTAAATTCATTATTACATCATTTCTCTCATTTTATCCACGATTGATTCTACACATATACTCCTTCTTATATGTTAGTTCCCTATCCTATCTTCTCTAGTCACTTCACTAACCCATCTAAACATTTTCATCTCTACTCCACTCATTCTTTGCTCTATTATCTATGTCACCGCCCAACACTTTGAACTATACATCATAGCTGGTCTCATTACAGTCTTACAAAACTTACCTTTCAACATTACTGAAATTCTTTTATCACATAATATACCAGGTGCTCTCTCTACTTCACTCACTTGCACTTAATCATGTGTCTTACATCCTCGTCAATACCACAATTCTTTTGCATAACTGATCCAAAATACATAAAACTTTCCACCTCTTCTCTTTCCATGTTATCGCTTATTGTCACTGGTCCCCTAATTTTACCTACCTCGTATTCTCCTTTGTGAAACTCATTCTCTATATACTCCGTCTTACCCTCACACTTTTTACCCTGGTACAAGTGCCATCATACATATCCTCCATTATCAATGTATCTTTTTGTGACTCTTTTCTCATTAATGCCCACTTTAAAAGTTCCCTCAATACTCTACCATACACTTTTTCCAAACACTTTTTATAAACATCATACACAGCTTTTTCTTCATTTCCTTATACTTTTAAATTAATTGTCTTTATAAGTTATATAATATTCTTCCCTCTTATTAAAATAAATAAATATATTTTTTATAAGCATCTATTTTGGAATATTGTAATACAATAAAATGAAAAAAAAAATTAAGGCAACACTTATTCTGCTGGTGACTAATGACTTCACTTTTAAATAAAAATATACAACTATGCATTTATTTAAGCACTATTTAAACCAATTGGAGCGGGCTATCCTGGTCAGTCGATTCCAGTATGCACATAGAGATTTATTATTAAAACGTCAGTCTCATTACTCAGTTGTCACTGACCGACTTTAAAGCTTATGTCAAGAGTTAGTTTCTTCATTCTTGATGCCTTTATCCACCTTGTTTACTCTCTTCAATGACTCACGTACAAGTGTCTTGCACTTTGTATTTTGTTACATCTTTTTACTCGAGCGTTTTGCATTTGTATCTTGCACTTTGTCAGCACCTCATACTTCGTTACCTCTCCTAATTAACTCAAGTACTTGGGTCTTCCACCTTGTACTTTATTATTCCTTAATAAAACAGAAATATTTATGTCTTGCAGTTGGTCTGCACTTCATACTTTGCTACCTCCTCCCTTGTTTAATTAAAATACTTGTATCTTGCACCTTGTAATTCACAAAATCTAAATATTTGTATCTTGTCTTTGTCTTTTTCCTTATACCCTGGCATTATTTCCCTAAACTTCCTACAATTACGGCTCTTCGACTCCCTTGATAAAACTAGAGTATCAGCTGTATATACTGTGACTACCTACAATACATTATTAGACCATATCTCTTCTTATTTTGCTTATAACACATTACATGAGAGAATGGTTACTTTCAAAAATACATCATTATATTTATATATATATCCTTATATCCAAATAAATTAAAGATTGTTCCTAATGTTCAGACAAATCCTATAATTTTTGGTGCACTAAATTTTTTTTTGTAGCATTTTGAATAATTTAAAGAAAAATTTTATTGGTGCTACTAAATAATCTTGTTTTGATTTATGAATTTTTAATATAGTTACAGCATTTTTTCTATATTACTACCCTTAAAACTAAATATCTTTATATAATCAACAACTTAAATATCAAGATATAAATATTAATAATACCTGAATTCAATAAATTGATAAGAACGATTCTGTGATAAACTCATATATGTCTGGTAAGCTGTCCAATTATGTTCTATTATCTAAATAAATTAGAAAAACATATATATTTTTGCAAATAGAAACAAAGACAAAAAAAAATCAATATAGTAGGGACGTGGCATAGTTAGGACAAGAATAAAGGATATTTGACAGTTATTAAAATAATTATCTTAAAAAATGCTTCAATGTGAATCTATAGTGCTTAATTTTTAGAAGGAATTGTTAGATTATTCCAAAAATAACATAAACTCCTATTTCCTTAATTATATCCAGACTAAAAATTTTATAATTTATAAGCAGACTAGATTTAAATTTTATTTGAGCAATTTTTAAAAGATCTAATTTTATTGTTTGAATACACAGTAGCATAGATATATTCTTTATTGTTAGGGGAACTATACCTTACTTATCACCCCACAAAAAAAAAAAAGAAAAATATAACCTTACAATACATTACGCAAGTTTTTAGGCTTATTAATACAAATTTGTACTGGCTGGTAATATATTTGGAATAACTTAATAATATTTATAATTGAATATAAATCTGGACTCTATAAGTAAATGAATAAACAATTATTATAGATATTAAATTCAGTATGTAATTGATATTCAATAATTTAATATTGTAATTTTTATGGAAAAATTAAAATAGAAACCTATTTCCTTACTTACTGTACATTTTATATTTTTAATTAGCTTAAAAAGTAAAGCGGATCTGTTTACTTTTATCTTTGTGCATATATAAACCACACTTTTCCTCCCGCCATAGTATAAAAATACTGGTTCAATAGATGCAAAATTCCTTCATTAATATATTTATAATTATCACTTAAATCTTATTTTTATTAAAGGAATTACTTACCAACCCTCCTTATATGGTTATACTAATTGACCTAAATAGGAGATTTCCCCTATTAACAGAAACAAAAGAAATTTTTTCAATTTTTCTAATTTTTGTCTTCAATTAGACATGATGTGTATTATTTTGACATATTGTAAAAAATAAAACTTGTTCAGTGAGAGCTGAGAAAAATTGGTGACAGACACAAAATCAATAAACATATCATAGTAAAATTATCACCTTTTTTGATTCACATTGAAGCAAATAATTTCTAGGGTATCGATTCTTTAAATAATGTAATAATATAACAATTAGCATAATATCAGTTCTATTCGAAATGATTTAGATTAATTTTTCTCAATTTTCTGGGATAATAAAATATTATAATTAACACATCGTTCAATAATGTGGGTGACTAACTAATTAAAACACATTTTTTTGCCAAAATTCGTTTTTATTCATCAACATAGTCCCCTTTTAGGGAGATACAATCATTCCAACGCTTTTCCAATCTTTCAATACCGCCTTTGTAGAACGATTTTTCTTTGCCTTCAAAATAGGCTTCAGTTTCAGCGATGACTTCCTCATTTGAGCCAAATCTCTTTCCACGGAGCATCCTTTTGAGATCTGCGAAAAGCCAGTAGTCGCTGGGGGCCAGATCTGGAGAATATGGTGGGTGTGGCAGCAATTCGTAGCCCAATTCATGCATTTTTGCCATCGTTTTCATCGACTTGTGACACGGTGCATTGTCTTGGTGAAACAAGATTTTTTTCTTTGCCAAATGCGGTCTTTTTTTGGAAATTTCGGCCTTCAAACGCTCCAATAACTTTATATAATAGTCGCTGTTGATGGTCTGACCCTTTTCGAGGTAATCAACGAATATTATACCGTGAGCATCCCAAAATACAGAGGCCATAACCTTGCCAGCCGATGTTTGTGCCTTTGGACGTTTTGGGCGGCTTTCACCGGCTGCATGCCACTCAGCAGCCTGCCGATTGGACTCCGGAGTGTAATGGTGGATCCATGTTTCATCCATTGAGATGTACCGACGCAAAAACTCCGACTTATTATGCTTAAAAATGTCCAAACAAGCCTTTGAATCATCGATTCGTTGTTGTTTTTGCTCCGGTGTGAGCAAACGCGGCACCCATTTGGAAAACACCTTTTTCATACCCAAATGTTCGTGTATTATGGTGTGTACACTGCCTGCTGATATCTTTAGGATGTCAACTATCTCGAGCAACTTCACTTTTCGATCGCCCATAATAATTTTCAGTGTTTTTTCAACGTTTTCCGGAATAACAGCGTCATTTGGCCGTCCAGTAGATGGAATGTCATCGGTGTCTGTACGACCACGTTTGAATTCGGCATACCAATAACAAATGTTTCTTTTTGATGGAGCAGAGTTCGAATAATGTTTTTTAAGCCATTCCTGGCATTGAACAGTATTTTTTTTTTTTAAAAAGCAATGATAAATCAAAACACGAAATTGCTTTGAATTCATTTTTTTTGAAAACTCAAAAGTAGCGTCACTTAAAGCACTGTAACTTGTAAACTAATGGTCGGATTGACATATAATTTTGACAGTAAGCCTAAAAAGGTTCACACTTTCGAAAAAAAATATTGATTTGGTATTAGTGGAGCCATCTATGTGTCAGTCACACACATTATTGAACGATGTGTTATAATAAAACCTTAATTTTAGAAAGTAATGATGATGTCTACAAGGATAAATTCATCAAAATGGATGATCTAGACTCACTAGTTTTATTTAATGAATTATATGTATTCAGAAGTATATGATATTAATTATATACATATGTGAGTATATTTTCATAAGTTAAGAGTACTTGAAATAAAAAGTTCATTACAATTGCAGACTCTATGATTTACAAAGCTCTGTGAAAACTGTAAATGCAATGCCCACATAAAATATTTAAAACATAAGACCAGTACTGTTAATCAGAACCTAACAAAATTACATATTTATAGAACAATAAACACATTATTATTACACATCTATGCCTTAATTTTTGTTAAACTCGAACCATAACAGGAAACTCAGTATTTAAAGAATACTGTAAAAGAGATTGTAGATAAGAGTAGGGAGTAGAATACCAGGAAAAAGTATGAGCGGAGTAACAGAAGATTATAGGGTAAAAGTATGAGTGCTCTTAAATGAAAGGAATTAAGAATAAGTAGGAGTAAGACAGACCATATAGAGTATGAGTTTGACAATGGAGAAGGAGAATAGAACAGAGAATGAGTGTAGCAGAGATGAGAATGGAATTGAGAGTAGGAGTAGAATGCCAGGAAAAATGGAAATCTGGTGGTGGAATGAGAACGTATAGAAAATCACAGAAAGTAAGAAAAAGCAGTTCAAAGTATGGCAAAAGAGCGAAAGGAGAGAAGATTGGATGGAGTATAAACATTTGTGTAAAGAAGCCAAGTATACAATAAGTAAGACAAAGTTTAAGATGTATGATGAGTTGTATGATAGGCTAGGAACAAAAGAATGCAAAAAAGAAATCTGTAGACTTACAAAAGCAAGAGAAAAACAGTCTAAAAATTATCACAATGTAAGGTGTGAAAAAAGGTGAAGAGTATTTTGTAAAATTACTAAATGAAGAACTGGTAGATTTAACTAGTGAGAAAGAGGTACAGAAGGCTATGGCATTAATAAAAAAGAACAAAGAAGAAGGACCAGATAAAGTACCAGTAGAAGTATAGAAAATATTAGGAGGTGTTGGCATAAGGTGTTTAAAGAATCTGTTTAATAATATCTTATAAGAAGGGAAAACACCAGAAGAAGACTATAATATACAAAAAAAAAATTTAAACAAGGGTATATTAAAAAATATACCCTTTAAAATTGAAAAAAGGATGACTTTTTTTTTTTTCTATTGTAGGTATGTTAAATACAAATGTTTGAGAATTTAATTAATTTTCCATGAAAGTCTTAAGGGCATATTTTGTATAAATTAGTTTCATATATAGGTTACGGTTGTAATCACCTTTATTATTCCCTAAAATATACTCCTGAATATAAATAAGCTAAAATTTCACAATATTACTACTAAAAACAAGTTATTGAAAAATATTTGAAAGTTTTTTAGTTTAAATTGAGAAATTATCTACATTGTACTCATTTTATAAGATAATACAAAAAAAGATACTCACCATGTATGCACATATTAAAACTGCTGCATTGGATCTTTTCTTTTGATCAAAACCACTAGTACAATGTATTACTTTTTTTCCCAACTATACAAATTGTTTAAATAAATAAATAGTAACATTAAAGTTTTCCATTAAAATAATTATAAGCATAAATTAAGTCATAATCTTTTGGACATTATTATAAACATTTAATTACTAACCACATGCTAAATAATACTATTAATCCCTTTTTTACTCATTACATTCAGCAAAATGCAAAATAAGTGAAAAAACTAGGATATTACCCACTAACTATATGTACACATATTTAAATAGGTTTTTACTTATACATAGATCTTACTTTTAATTTTTGCCGAATAATTGTACAAAATCGGTACACCATAGCTAAATTCAAAGGGCCAAAATCATTAAAGAAGTTTTCATAGACTAAAGTTTCATCAATATCTAAATAGAATAAATTGGTGTCATTCTTCCATGGAATATCTGAAAGGACATTATTCTTGCTTTGTCCACCACCAGATAATGTTACAAAATATAATTTATCTAAAAATAAAAATTATTTAAGTACGGTTAGGATCTGATATTTTAGTACATACTAGTATAGATTAAAAACTAGCAGTGATTAAAATCAAAGTGTTTTTTCACTTTAATGTTCTGATAATATATTTTTATAAGAATCAACTTCATACATTTTTTAATATAGAGGCCCATTACTTATAGAAAGCAAGTTGATTGTCTAGTAGGAATTGAATATTCTTTTCGATAAACACAAAAAAAAAATATGATAGAATAAAACTAATAACTTAGTTACTCATTGAAACTAAATGTAAGCAATAGTAAATTTTGACAAATTACTTGTGCTTATTTAGGAATAAAACTAGAAAATATAGTTAGTATCACATATTTAAATAATTATTGATTAATGAGCAATTGAATATTATAAATTTATGATTGATTTTAATAGTGAATGTAATTAAGGTTTATTATTATCTTACTTACCTTTAATAAATTCTGTCCATTCAGAAACAACTAAATCTTTTTTATTTTTATTAGCCATTTTATTACAAAGTTTAAGACACTTGAACAATGGGTTACCTTTATTAAGTGTCTTTTAAGTAAAGGTTTATATCTAATTAATTATAATAAGTAGAAATTCACCTAGAAAATACATCCCACATGTAATAATCCCACACACAAGACATTCTTATTATCGCACCCACACAAACTTTTAATGATATACATTTGACAAAATAGGTATATAAAATTGAAACATGAAGTTTTCCATGTAAATTATGAAAAAATATAATAATCCCAGAAAAGTTCATTAAAACACAATAAATAGTTAAACTCATCCATATTGAAATTAATAATTTTTAAATTTTAATTTTATATTTTAATTTAAATATTTAAAATTCATAGACATGGGTCATATCCTATAATCAGATGGATAAACATTGAAATATTTGGTACAATAATTATAATTAATAAAATATTACCTACACTTTTAACGGTATCAAAGATTGTTTACTTTATATTAATGTTATCAATATTAAAAATTATTGTTCAAATTGTTTATCAAACGTTCATCAGCTGTTTCATCTAAACGACGGCGCCAACTTTAGTTGCACGTGCCTTACATTATGCGAAAATTATGTTATCGTTTTATTGCGTAATATGAAACTGTTTATGAGTGCTTAATGCCCGTATTATGCTAATTTGTGAACATAGAAAACATAAAAACATCTGACCAAAGATGTCTTGTAATTTTGTACCTTTTATTTACCATTTTGATAAACGTCATATAATCTTTGCACGACAAACAACCGTGTTCTTATTAGTATGATTAAAAAACAAATTGATACCTAGTTCTAAGTCCAATGTTTTTTATTCTAAAATAAAACCATTATTGACTACTTTTAAATTTGAGTAAAATGATTGCCATTGAAAGTGAAACCCATACAAGTAATGATGATGTTTCACAAAATAATTTCCAGGTAAACATTTAAACAGGTTAAAATTTTAATATAACATGTTTCTATTCATTCCAATTTTTTTTTATAGAAACGTCAAGATGAACTAGTTATGATGTCCTCGATATCTACTTTACCAAAGAATATTTATCCTGTTGCTTCAAGTGTTTACGTATTAATAGATGATGAAAAGCTAATGAGTACTGATATGCGTGTTATGTGGTACTTAAAACGATTAGGATCTGTGTTGCAAGTAGATAATGAAGAAATGAACCATGAATTATCATCTGAGTTATGTAAAATTGTATCATTTGTACCAAGAGAGTTAAGTCAGGATACCAATAATGTAGTTATCAATAATATGAAATATAATAGTAGTTTTATGTGTAACAATGAAAATAATTTTTTTACTATGGATTCATTGACTCGTATATATTTCTTGACATCAGTATATACAATGGTCTATTGTCTAGATATGAGTCCTTCTAATTGTTCAGTGGTAAGTCTTATAAATGTTAAAATAGTTTTATTATTAAGATATATTATTTTACTATTAATAATTATTTTTGTTTTACATTTTGATAAACAATTAACAATATTATGACTAATTATACTAAAAGATTATTGTCTTATATTTAGGACATTCAAAGAGGTCATGTAATGCTTGATGAAATGATTGTAGCTTTAAAGCGTAGTATTCAAGGTTTCATTAGACCTGTAAGTAATTTCATATATGGCAAATTTTATAACTAACATTATTTAAACATTTTCTAGTTTATTATACCAGGATCTCACAAGGTACTGTTTGAACCACAAGTTTATGTTACTGTTATAGTTCATACTCCATTTTACACATCACTTGCTCAACAGGTAAATCAATATCTTTGTTAATTCATCATTATACTTTTATATATAAATTTATGTATATATTTGTTTTGAAGGTGTTAGTTCAAGGATGGCGTGTTAATAATCATAATTTTAATGAATTTATTAAAATGATCTCATGTGAAATGACCCGTTTAGAAAATGCTGTAGCGCATTCATTTACTCATTCATTAAAAAATGTAATATGGCTCATTTTATTTATACATCAAATTTGAGCGTTTTAATAATAATATAATAACTAATATACAGGATTCTGATACTATGTCATCATCATCAGATGATGAATGTGATGATGCTAATGAATTATGGCATATTGATCAAAATAGTAAATCCAACCACATCTCTCATACTGGTGTAAGTTCCATTAGTACTAACAATAGATGTCGTCGATACAACTTATTAGCTAATAATTCAAATAATATGCAAGTAACTATTACCAACAATAATCCTGATTCAGGCTTTATTAATACTTTAAGATATGGTATGCTGGCTGTCAGATTATTACCTCGATCAAGTATATCAAGTTAGTTTTATTAATTTAATAAAATAAAATAATATTTCTAAATTATTTAAATTTTGATACTAAATAAGATTATTTATTTTTAGATTTAATAGTTATAACTGATGGCATGATTACTTTGGCAGATATACAAGTTATAGACTCAGTACTCAATCAGTTAAGATGTATTAGTGTAGCATGTTCATTTATGCATGTTTCTAGTCAATTTCATCCACATTCATGTCATGGACATGTTCCATACTCAGAGTTAATGCAATTAATTGCTACTGCTACTATGGGAACATATTTAAATACATTTCCTGATACAAAAGATGATTGTAATGTGAATTACTATCATGAAAAATTCATCATGTGGACATTTCGTAAAGGAAATGAAATATTATCTCCTAATTCATTATCAAACAATACATCCAATCTTAGTTGTACTCCGCCACGTGTTCGCCAAGGAGAATGGACTGTTAAGTATGTGACTCATGTTACTCTAATTTATCTAAAAACAAATATAAAATAGCATTAAATTTTATAAATCAAATAACACTAGTATCCATATTGTCTAAATAGTAAGTGGTTTATTAATGTAATGAATTTATTTAAAACTATGAAAACATAAAATATTTTGGTTCTGTAAATCATTAATGATAACTGTTGAGATAAGCTAGTTCTGTAAATCAACGAAATATAAGAACAATAGGAGAGACCAAGTACAGTTATATCACTTTTTATATTTATTATGATTCCTTGTAAAATAATTATTTGCTACACATTTTTTTTATAATAATAAAGGATAATACAGGTTAGAATAAATTTTAAATTATGTATTCTTAGACTATATTAAAATCATATTTTTTTATTATTTGTTTAAATAATAATAATATTTTAAAATTTTTTTCTGAACTTTAAAATAGACATTTATTAGCACTTTTTAATACAAAAATGATTATTGGATCAATAAAAACTTTAGGAAAAGTAATATCTGAGTTACAATCATTTTAATTTGTAGAGTGATTAAGTAGACTAGATGGGTAAAAAATGTACTGTTTTGAATTCATAATATATACTCCACCAGTGTTACATACCCACATTAGGTATTAAAAAAATTGTAATTTAATGATTACTCATTCTTAAATTGTTATTGATCAAGTTATTAATCAGTGTTTGTAAGAAAATTTCTTAAAAATTGACTATTTTGATATTTAAAAAAATTTAATATAAAAAAAAAAATTTGTTTACAAATAATTAAAAGTGTAATTTTAATGTAGTGTAATAATGCATAAATTATTTCTTAAGATAATATAAACAAACTACAAAATATTGATTGTAACAAAATGTTTAGAAGTTGTCAGTTAGATCTGTTCCATCTAATTTTTTGACCCTCTTTTTAAATATTTTGAAGATATGTTATCAAAATATTTAAAAATAAAACATCTCTGTTTTTTATATTATATAATTTAATATGACTTATTAGTATTATAAAATAAGAAATATATTTTAAATATTAATAAAATCCAAATCATGTATAACTCAAAACAATATACTTTTATTATATAATTTTTTGTGCTAATTTCAAATTAGCAGTTATATTTTTTCTATCACCAATAATTTTTTATATTATTACTAATTAGTTAAAATCTATGGGATATAACTATAAGTAAAATAGTTCCGAATATTTTAATAGTATCATCTATTTAAACACCAAGACTTACATAGAAATTATTGATATTTCTTTTGAAATGGTTTATTACAATAAAAAAATAATTAAAAATACAAAACAATTGTTTTTAAATTATTACAGATTTTAATTTTTAATATTTTAAAAATAATCAGTGCAAAATATCATTTTTAACCTATTTTTTTGGTATTTGAAAGTTGATTATTTGAAATTTTATTATAAAAATAGTTGAAATTGTTACCACAACTTTTAGCTCAACTTCACGTTTGAAATTTACATTATTAAATAGAAAATTTTACGAGAATAAAAAAATAGTATTGTTAAGATATGCAGTCAAGAAATTGTATAATTTACTGTAAATTTATCAGAAAAGCTCAATATTTTTATTGTAATAGATCACTTAAATATAATCATAGTGATAATTTCTAAGTAACTTTTGGTGTTTAAAAAGATTTTACAATTGAAATATGTAGAACTGAATTAATTAAAAAAATTTTCTTTAACTAAAAAAACCATTCAATATGTTGCTAAAAAAATCTACTCAATTGTTAAGTGTATTAGTTGTGATCATTTGATGTATCGTTAAAAAAAGTTGGTCAAGTGAGAGCTGAGAAAATAAATAAGAGCCATAAAAAAAAAATGACATAGTAAAAAAACTTAAAAGAAATTTCTTCAAACGAGGAGGGACTACAGTGATTGGTTCCTTGATATTTATTAAAGTTATTGAATTTAAATGAGATAAAAATCAATTGATTTAAAAAAATTTTCTAACTCAAAAACTTTTGTAAGGTATTTTAAAATAAAATATTAAATTAATAGTTTTAACACAAAAATAGTATACATTAGTCATTTTCACCGTAAAGACAAAATAAAATCCGAAATTATTCTTTTCCATAATAAAGTATATTACATAAGGTTTAATTTAAGGTATATATAAAAGTATCAGTATTTTCGGAAAACTTTCAAAAGTTAAGTTGAAAAAGTTGTCATTTTGAATCCCTCCTGTATGAAGGGAAATAGTCTGATTTAAAAAAAAAGTATATAAATAGTATATCTTATGAAAAAATTGTATTGTTCTATACTTTTTAATAAAAGTTATAGTAATATAAAGTTAAAAATATAAATATAAAATCGAGAATTTTAACACAAAAATATCTACCATATAGTTATTTTCATAATGATGACAAAATAAAGTTGGAAATTTTTTTTTCCATAATAAAGTATATTATATTAGCTTTAATTAAATATATATATAAAAGTGTCAGTATTTGCGGAAGACTTTCAAAAGTTAAGTTGAAAAAGTTATTTTGAATTCCCCCTGTGGGCAGGTAAAGGGCCAGATTTATAAAAAAAATATATACAAAATCTATAAAAAAAAAAAAAAATTATACTGATTTGATAATATTTAAAAAAAGTTATGGCAGTTTTAAGTAAAAAAAATTGAAAAAATGTCAAAAAATATCTTTTTTTTAATTTTTAATTTCTCCCATTTACAGGGAGAACATGGGATAAGTAACTGTTTAATTGATAAATTAGAATTTTGTTTAATTTTTTGAGGGTAATATCTTCAACTAGATACTAATTGTAATCATTTGAAAAAAATAGGTCAAGTTAGAACAGAGAAAATAAATGATAGTCACAAAAAAAATACCTCCTTTGCTTTGCATTGAAGCTAATATCTTAAATATGAACGAGGGAAATTTTTACAATTTTTGAGGATAATATCTTTGATTAGATACGATTTGTGATATTTTGACATATTGTTGAAAGAAATCGGTTTAGTGAGAGCTGAGAAAAAGTAGTAACAGACACAAAAAAAAAAATCATAGTAAAATTAATACCTACTCAACTTTGCATCAAAGCTAAAATATAAATAAATATAATAAAATATAATTTTAAAATGTATTATATTCACCCTGAAGAATTAGTTAAATTTTACCTTGACCATATTTTCTTTAACATTTAAATTATTTTAAAAATCAATATTATATTTACATTTATAAATATGAATTTACTAGAATCTTGATAAAATTAACATTAGAGTATCTTTAAGATTAACAATTATTGATTTAATTAATGATAGCAAGGTGATAAATAGAACAAAAAAATATTTTTATCATTGAATGATGAAATTGAATACATGATTATGACTGTCTCAACAATGATATAAAGATTGTCATAAGTACTGTAATATATGATTAATTGCAATTAAATTTTGGAAAAAGTTCTTTACAAGTTGGAATATGATATGTGTTTTACTAACTCATGAAAAATGCGACACAAGTCAAGATATGAAATTTTATAATGAAAAATTATAATTGACTTCTTATTTATGATTAAAGAAATGATCTCTAATGGTAATATATCCATCTTAATTTTAAGATACAACAATTTTGCACTAAATTTGAGTTTCAATTCCTTTTTATATTAATTTTACTTTTATCTCATCAAAACTTATTTTATGAAAAATAAAATTTATATTACAAGGATTTTTTAATTAGTTTGTCTTTTTAAATATTTATTAATATTAAACATTTTTAAAATCATGAAAAATTATGAGAATAGTTATTTTACTTTTTATAAAAATTTAATTTAATAATTATTATTTATTGAAATAATTAAAGAATAATAAACTTAAAAATGATTTTTTGTTAAAATTATTGATTTTTTTATATTAAATAAAAAATGATGTTAGCCTATTCATTTTTCTAGAGTTCATAAAAATCAATTTTTTTTATAGAAACACAAATTTTTATGGTAATAGACAAACTCAATTAGTGTCTAAAAGGCAAATTAATGACCACATGCAAGCACACTTAGATAATATTGTATGTTGTCGTATGCGTGAAGGATTCATCGTAGAGGTTTGAGTTTTTTTTATATTTTTATTCTAATGATTTAATAAATGTATACATTTTATAATTTAAAAATGTAGGATATACAATTTAAAGACTCTGGAAGCTCTACTGTAAATTCTAAACTTCAGTTAAAATTTGTGTTACCATGGACTAATCATATTTATATTGAATATGATTTAACTGTAAAATGGCCACCTCCTAATTGTTCATTAGTTTTACCTATTATATCACAAGGAATTCCAGTTGTACAATCACCCCCTGCTTCAGGAATCCAATCATCTCAAGTGTCTACGACTGTACAATCAGATAGTTGTCTAAATATTCATTACACAATCATTGTTAAAGGTTAGTTCATTTAATTAATTTTATCTTATTGAAAATACAAGTTTAGCTTAAAAATTATATACAAGAAGTAGATGTGTTACAATTGAAAAACCAAAGCCTTAAAATGACAGTTATTCTCTAGTACATTTAAAATATTTTTTGATATTTTGTATAAAAAATAATTAGTTATAGTATATACTAATAGTTGCTAAGAAGTAGTGTAATTAGGATGTTATTTTGAAGAGCAATACATAAATAATTTCACAATCCCTTCATACTAAAAGAATTACATTTCTGAAGGTTTCCATCATAAAAATGTTGGAAATATGGTGTTTTAAATAATGATGTTAAATCCATCACAATTAAAAATAATACCAAGTTATATAAAAGTTACCAATATTTTATAATATGTTAGTGAATGCATGCATTCACTGAGTAACAAGCTTTCATTATAACTCCACATTTTAATAAAATGTAAATTATATTATAGTTTTCTTCAATTCTATACAGGGTGAAAGCCTTATAAAACAGTTAATTACATGATTATAACATTAAATCATAATATTTGATAATATTTAAATTTAAAAATATTATTAGCTTCGATGCGAAGCTGAGAAGGTATTAATTTTACCATGATGTGTTTTTTTTTTTTTTCTGTTGCCACTTTTTTATTTAAAGGTGTACAGAAAATATTATTTATTCATAATTTATAGAGTGATCGGTTTATCATAAACCACTTAATTACTTGCAAATAAATATAATATTAGAAAAATAATTTTTTATATCTTTTAATTACATATATTTTTGATTTATCAGCTATTAATTACTTTTTAGAATCATCACTTATAACTTATAGGAAAGTCAACTTTATTTATTAAATGGTAACATGCATATTTAACTTATAAAATAGAAAATTATCTTATTAATAAAATGACTAGTCAATAATAACTTATGGACTAGTACATTATATGTTATTTTATACCTTGACATGATGAAGTGTATGGCCAGAAAATTAATAATAAAAATAGAGGCACCCACTTCTGTCATTACTTTAAATTGTTAATAACTTATGAAATATTGGTCCAAAAGTTGTTAACGACCAGTCATTTTCTTAATAAGATTATTCCCTTTTTAATAAGCTATTTAAATATATATGTTACCATTTAAAATAACCCAGCACAGGGGGGTCTCGGCACAGTTGTGACGTGGCATAGTTGGATCAAGTATAATGATATCTGACAGTGATTAAAATTATTATCAAAAAAAACTCTGATGCAAATCTTTAGATAGTGTTTAATTTTAAAAAATTGGTGGATTATTCCAAAAGCTACATGATCTGCTATTTTCTTATTAATATCCTGATTAAGATAAAGTATGTCGAATAAAAAGGGATATAAATATTATTTCTCATAAAAAAATTGTGTTGATCCATATACTTTTCAATAAGTTATAGCATTATAAAGTTAAAATTGTAAAAATAAAATCGAGAATTTTCATACGAAAATAGCACTCGGTAGCCATTTTCACCGTAAAGACAAAATAAAATCCGAAATTATTCTTTTCCATAATAAAGTAAATTACATTAGCTTTAATTTAAGATATATATAAAAGTGTCAGACTTTCTGGAACACTTCCAAAAGTTAAGTTGAAAAAGTTAATTTTTTGTGAAAAAGTTGTCATTTTAAATCTCCTCCTGTGGGCAGGTAAAGAGTCTGATATTTAAAAAAATATACCAAATGAAAGTTAATGATATCAAGCATCTATATAAAAAAAAATTATATTCATTTATTCATTTTTGAAAAGGTAATGGTAGTTTTAAGAAAAAAAAATTGCAAAAATTAGCGATTTTTAAATATTATTTTAATTATTTTATTATTATATAAGTTAAGTAGTCAGAGGCGTGAAAATGAGTAATTTTAATAGGTTTTTTTTGGCAGTAGTTTAATTTATTTTATACATCAAATACAGAGTTATAGTCAACATTCACCAGTCAATAGAATGCTACTTTTATGTAAATACAGTTTCAGTTAAAAATTTTGATTTTTTTATGACCATTTAGTTAAGTTGAAATATTAGTGATTCCAATGAATTTAGTTTTGTTTTTTTGTGTTGGTATTAATTAAGCTTCTATATATTCTGTACTATAATAATATTTAATTTATTTGAATATCACCTATACTAATTGTCCTTTTGTGGGCGTATAAATATTTATATTATTTAATGTAAATTAAATTAATATCATATTATTTAACTAATCAAATAAATAATACAAAATTATTATACTATGTTTTGACTTAATTTGACGAAAATTAAAAAAAAAAATTATTTTAGAATAAGTTATTATATTGTTTTGGTTATTTTTAAAATAATTATGGCAATTTTAAGTAAAAAAATTGAAAAAATTTCGATAATTAGCGATTTTTAAATTTTTAATTTTTTTGAAGGTTTCCCCCATTTACGGGGAACGAAGGAAATTTTTTCAATTTTTAAGGGTAATGTCTTCGACTAGATACAATTTGTGATCTTTTGACGTATCATTGAAAGAAATCGGTTCAATGAAAGCTGAGAAAAAGTGATAACAGACACAAAAAAAACACATCATAGTAAACCTAATACCTTCTCAGCTTCGCATCAAAGCTAGAATAAAATTAACACTCCTAAATGTTATAAGGGATAATTCTTAGAAGTAATTAATAATTGATATATAAAAAATTATAAGTAACTAAAAGAAATAAAAAATTATTTTTCTAATATTCTATTTATTTGTGAGTAAATGAATGGTTTATGAAGACCAAACACTCTGTATATAAGTTGTTAATAGAAAATATTTTCTGTATACCTTTAAATAAAATAATATTTATAAATTTATATTATACACAATGCAAGGAAATAATAATTAACAAATATTTAATTGAAATATTGTATTGTATTAATCTTATAATTTATTGTTTAATTTATACACAATTTCTATAATTTAGATGTTAATTTAATTGTGTTTATTCTTAACATTAGGTCCCTATGAATTTTTACGTGATATAACATGTGGAAGAAATAAAAAATTACACAATCAAAATCTTTCACAATCATTTCAACAATGTCAATATCAACTTTCATCATATAAATCTTCCACTAATTTCCCTTCTACCTCAACAACTATTACAAGTACCATTTTACAATCGGATGGAGGTGTTGTATCCCCCCGTGGAATTGTTTTGAATAGTGCTGTTTCTTCAAAATATAGACAAGCACTTATAACTCGTTTTTGGTCAACAATGAGATCTATTGCTCAAACCGATTTGCTTATTAAGCATCTTGAAACATATTCACCTAGTACTGGTCATTTGGTTGATTTTAATAGTTGTAACCAATCAAGACCATATGATCAATCATTTGAAAATCAACTAAATCAAAAGGACTGCAGCTTAAGTCCTAGCAGTCCAAATAGTTCCAGTAAAATAGATAGTAGTAAAATATTAATGAATGCTGCAGTGTCAGGGTCATCTGTCACAAATTTTTCCTCTACAGTAATTCCAAATCGTAGTCCATTAAGAAGTGGTATGCCTTTATTTTACCATTTACCTTCATCATCTTCTACATCTGCTTTAAAACAACAACTTCAAGTAAAATTAAAGTGAGTTATGTAGTAATTAAAACAAATATTATACCAATATTTTATAAAATTAGTAATTTTAGTTTGCAGTATTTTATGAACTTTTATTTTAGGTTTTTACAATAAATGGTATTCAAATTTTTTATATGTATACAGTGATTCACTTATCATCAATTGCTTAATTAATCGAAAAATAAAAAGAGTATTGTTAATTTCTTATTGGTTTCTTTTGGTTCAATGCTTTTCTCAATTTATCAATTTTCGTAATACACAACAAAGCACTAATGGAAGGGGGTAAGAGGTGTAGTATGTATGAAGATGATGATGAGTCTGCTGACTAATTGACGCACGAGTGACCATGCAGCAGTTACCGTGTTCGGTTGACACTCCAGATCAGCTGTGGGTGTTGAAAAATCGTTGTTATAGGAAGGGAATAAGGATAACACCTAGGTATGAGGTTTTGAAGTTTTAGCATTTCTTTATTATATATACATTACTACAGTATTCAGTATTAGATTAATTAGGTTTCAAAACCCTTTAAGTTACAAATGTTTTAAAAAAGAAAATTTTTAAATCCATCTAACCAAGCCCTATTATAAAAGTAACTAAAATTCAAGTTAATAAAATTTATTTGTCTTATCAGCCCAGTATTATGAAAATTTAATCGTATTAAAATCAATTAACTTAATTTTAATTTTCTATTTATCTATTTGAAATTTTAATATTTTCATTATTAACTTATGATAATATAATTAAGTATTTTATTTTAAGTTAATTTTTAATAGGGCCAATTTATTGATTATAAAATAATCAGTTTCTAAAGGTAAGCATTCTCATTTCTGCTACACTCATTCTCTGGTCAACCACACAACACTGAAACATACATCATAGCTGGTCTTACTACAGTCTTTTAAAACTTACCTTTCAGTATTATTGAAACTTCTGTTATCATATAACACACTAGGTGCTCTCTCACTCACTCTCACCCATTCGCACTTAATCATGTGTTTTACATCCTCATCAATACTACCATTTTTTTGCACAACCGATCCTAAATACATAATACTTTCCACCTCTCCTATCACGGCATCACTTATTAAAGCAGAATCTTGGTGCACTTCTACTCTTACTCGAAAACCTTCTGATACTCCTACGCTTTTTACCCTAGTACAAGTGCCATCATACATATCTTCTATTATATTAATGTACCTTTTAGGGATTTCTTTTCTCATTAATGCCCACTTTAAAATCTCTCTCAGTGCTCTATCATACACTTTCTCCAAATCTATAAATACCATACACAGCTTTTTCTTCTTTTCCCTAAACTTTCCTATAGTTGCCTCACACAAAATACTGGCTCCATCGTTGACTTACCAGGCATAAATCCAAACTGGTTTTTAGATACCGATGTCTCATTTCTTATTCTCTTATCTATTACCTTATTCCAAATTTTCATGCTATAACATAAGCTTTATGCCTCTATAATTTCCACGCTCCTGTATGTCATCTTTACCTTTAAATATCGGTACCACAATACTATTCCTCCATTCATTTGGAATTTTCCCTTCTAATAAGATTTTATTTAAAAGTTCTTTCAACCATTTTATGGTAACACCGCCTAATATTTTCCATAATCTTTTATTTACATCTCATGTTGAAAAAATGAAATCTAAAGTTCTAAAGACTCTTGGTTTTATTATTTGTAATACAATTGAGTTTAATAATAAGAATTGCTTCAGGATTCTTTACTGTGTCTTAGTTAGACCTAATATTGAGTATGGGTCTGTGGTATAGAATTCAATTCAAATTGGTTTGATTGACTCATTGAAAAGAATTCAGAGACGCTTCTTTCAGATTATATGTTTTGAAAAGAATAGCAATAGTAATAATTCAAATGTTATCGCAAGTGAAGTTCAAAACAGTTTAAATTTAAATTCTGTTTACATACGATGAAAATACAATGATATCTCTTTTATGTTTAAACTTTTAAATGGTTAGATTTATTAATGGAAATTTCCTTTCACGTTCCTGTCCAACTTTATCTTGTTCTTCACATAGAATGTCTTTTGGTTTTAATACACCAATTGATAGAATATCTCGAGAGTATTAGGTTAACACATTTAAACTTTTTTAGCTTGAATAATCTACCACCTATTAAATATTTTATTTTTAATTTTAGTTCTATAAGTTTGTTGACACACCGTCTACAATTAAATGTTATATTCAAATATTTTAATGTATTTACTGTGCTCCATGATAGCGTTAATTCAAAATAAATAAATAAAATATACAAAAGGAGTAACATAAATGAATAATATAATAAATTTATTTTTAAACAAAATACATCTTATATATCTTAAGCACCTCAAATAAGTGTCGCCCTAGGACACTTACCCTCGTTGTTTTTCATAGTACTACCCTGCTTGTTATAAAATTAAGGATGCTTATTTAAAAGAAATATTTTACTGCAATTATGAAAAAAGGATTTTTACATTATGAATCGATAATATATTTATAAAAAAAGTGTAATGTAGATAATTATTTACACTATGTTTTTTTATATTGTTTGTTAAGTAACATTGTGTAATTAATAATAAAATAAATTTTATTTTTAACTGTATATTTATAGTGATCAACAACAAAATTTTACTGATCTTCAGCATCAACAGTATGCTGATTTTTGGAGACCCGTATGCACATTAGATCCAGATGTACAATGGCCTAGATGGTTCTCTACTTATAGAATTGGCGGAGGTGTTCTATTACTTAGACACGATCGTCCATTACCACGATGGTTACATATTGCTAACTCTGCTAATGGTAGGTATCAAACTCTTACTTGTCGGAAAGCTGCTGAATCTTTGTTTGCCATGCTTAAGCAATGGTGTACGTTTGTTCTGATTGATGACCACTCATATGTAAAGTGCTTAAATAAAAAGTAAGTAAGTAATGTTTTACTAAGGAATAAAAGTATTATTAAGGGTTTTTTTACAGTAAATATTTATAGATATATATTAAGTTCATTTATTAAAATTACCATGTAAGATCTTTCTAATAGCTTCAGAAGTGCTAATAAAAATATGTGTAATTAGAATTATTCCTAGCTGTTGTGTTTAAACCTTTCTGATCCAACAATTTAAAAGATTATTTAATAATATTTTATAATTTGATGTGCTTAATTGTTTGAATTTTAACCTATATTCATATATTGAAAATTATGATTAATTTTTTATTTCAGTGAAACTTTTACTGGCAGTGTATCATTTTGTATAGCTAGAGTAACTTTAAGACCACCATGCTGTTGTTGTATTGTTTTACATTTAGCGTTTCAAAGCTGTGTACCAGCAATTGTTCACCACAAGGTTTATAAATTTACTTAATTTATAAAATTACTGTATTAATTATATTTTTGATTAGCAATTTCTTTTGAATTATGTGTTGTCTATTATTGATAGATTGTAGATGATCTCAAAAAACGTGTTCTACTGTTAGATTCAACAATGACCCAATCAGACTCAACTATAACAACATCATCAACTTTACATAAAAAATCTTCTAATAATAGTGAACATTTACTTCATGTTAGAAGAAAAAGTGGGATTGAAAAATTAGTCCTAAAAAAAAACAAAAGACCAAAAAAATACATTAAGATGTTGGAGAAGCCATTAGAAAAAATTCTTATCAGGTATGGTAGTAGTAACCATTTTTCGACCTTCATTTTGTATAATTTTTTCTTCTAGAATAATTATTTTGGGAATAAGGAGTTTTTATTTTAATTAGTTTATCCGGGTGCTATTATAATATACATTTAAGGATTATACTGTTTTCTGTTTGAGTTCATTAAATTAGTTAAGTAATTTGTTTTTATATTTTAATTGCAAGGTACGAACGAATGCCCTCACAGTTTACTACAGTTATATTTCCTGATGGTAGTCAACCTAACACTGCAGTTTCAACTACTCCAATGCCCACAAATTTTAACTTTTCAAATACCTCAAGCAATAATGGAAGACAACAGATAAGTCATCAAAATGTATCTAATGGAGTTGAATGTTTAAGAACTTCTTCAACAACAACTACAACTCTGTCACGCTATTTATACCATAGACGATGGATATGGAGTAGTGGTCAAAGTTTATATAATAAGAGTATAACTCAACAACAACTGCAACAACAGCTAGCACGTACTCTATCCTTACTAACAAAGTATGAACATTTTTTTTATTATTAATCACAATGTATTATTTATTGAAACAAAAATTAATGTAATGAATTATTTTGAGAAGAGCTTATATAATTGATTAAATTTTAATTATTTTAAAAATATTAACCTTCTATTATACGCAGTATGTATTTTCTGGATGAAAACACATCATGCCTTGATATTGAGGCCTGAGAGTTCCTGTTTTCTATAATAAAATTAGAAGCTTACAAAAAGTTTATTCCCCTAAAAAGAGAAAATTAGTATTTTATCCAAAATCACTCTGTGTACACTATTAAAATAGTAAATATATACGTAAAGGGCACATTAATAGATAGAAAAAATAGATTATAACTAGATCTATATTAGTTTTTTTATTTCATATTCTTTATACTGATATGATGTCAAATCTCATACAAAGAAAATGCATGAAGAGTAATAGTAAAATTTCAAGAATGGCAAAATTACTAATAATAATAAACAGCCAGTTGTTCAATAAAACACAACAAATTAACAAATAGTGAATGATAATAACACTATTGATAATAAATACATTATCTATTTGAAAATAACAAACAAATAAAACTTACTGTATATTTACAACCTAAGACCACTAATTGTTGTTCCAAAGATATATTCTACGAGTTAAAAATATCAGCACATAATTGACAAAAGACATGGTTATATTTTAAAATATTATAAATAATTAAAAACGCTTTTAAGACTCTATCTTAAATGTATAAAATCATTAGTTGATCAATACTAAAATTGAGGTTTAATTAATTTTTATTTATAGTTGTCATTATGAAATAAACAACTTACTTAGCTTAGTTGAAACTGCATCGTACCACAGTGTAAAGATATCAGGGTTTGATTTTGCACTAGGCTATGTAGGTATTCATGACAATTTTTCAGAGAAGATGTTCAGAATATTTAAAGAAAAAAAAATTGTTTAATCATAATAATCATAAGTTTTGTATAAAATTTATAATAAATAAATATTTTGCACTATTATGCTAAAAACCAATGGTGTATTTAGAAATTTTATATGATAGCTTTTAAAATGTAGAGTAGTGGGGAGATTTAACCTATGACTACCACCACTACTATGATTTTAGGATAATAGAGGATGTCCAAACCCATGATTCCTTTTCACTCCTAGTAAATACACTGCTGTTAAAAACAGGTTATTATTTTTCAGGATTCGTTTAAGAGAAGGATTTAGATTTGCTCATTCGTCTGCGGGTGTCATTAATATGGTATTACAAGTTCATATGTCAGATGTAAGTTTTTAAAATAATTATTTTATTCAATTTAAATAATATTGAAAGTTTATAAGTTTGTTTTTGTAATTTATACTGATTAGTAGAACATCAGACATATCTGATAATTGGAGTATAGGGTGATAGATATAAAGTTATTATTTTTTAATATTATTTAATCAGCTATACATATAATGCATATGTAAGATGACCTTACATGATATTGTTAAAATCTAAAATTTACAAAAGTGATATTCTAAAATATTCAAATCAAAATAGCTAAAAAAATCTTAATTTTACACATTTTATTATAAAAGAAATCAAAAAGATATAACTTTATATATTGATATATGCAAGAAATAATTAATGAATTCCTTTTTTAATATACAGAGTGATTCATGTCATCATCTGATTATAAGTTAATATAACTTATTATCTTATTTTATTAATTTTAATTCATAGTTAGCTCAAGTCTCAAAAAATGGAAATGTCATGTAATATTATCTTCTTCTTAAACTGGTTCTTATTACTTTTTAATACTTTTGTTTTGTCCGTATTAATTTTTAGTCCTATTTTACTGGCTGTTCTTTTAAGCACTGTCACAAACTTTTTTTAAAATCAACAAATAGTTGCCAGATGTTTTGGCGGTACTCATACTTTTATTCTATTAGTTGGTCTATAACGGTAGTTGTTCAATCAATGGTTTTCCCGTTCGAAATCCATACTGGTATCCTCCTAGGTTTTCTTCCACGTAAAATTTTAATCAATTAATAAAATCTTCGCAAATACTTTGTAAGCTGAATTCAGAAGAAATATTCCTCTATAATTGTCGCACTTGGTTTTATTGTTTTTTTTATATAAAGGTATGATTATAACTTCATTCCAAGTTTCTGGTAGGTGCTAGTCATTTCATATCTTCTGGCATAACTTAAACATGAATTAATGTATTTCTTTTCCGCCGTACTTGATGAACTCTCTTGGTATTTCATATGATCCTGGCGATTTCTAATTTTTTAGGCTACCTATTGCTTTGCAGGTTTATTCTTCGGTCACTTCAATTATCATTGGTTCGGCTCAATACCGTTTTTCCCTTCCCGTAAGATTGTTAGGGATATCTGCATTTAGGAGTTCAAAAAAATATTCTTTCCATCTTATCACTCTTTCTTTAGGATCCATGATTATATCATTATTACAATTTCTGATGATTAGACCCTTAGTACACTATTGCGTACTCGTCATTTTTTTTATTATTATTATTGAAAACTATTATTTTAAAGATAGATCACTGAGTTTTAATACTAAAAGAGCTAAATTATATGTGAATCAAAACTATTTAGAAATTTTAAAAATCAACATTTATATAGTTCTCTGAAAATTGATTCTTAGCCTATGATTAGACTAAATCCTACCCATCAATATTAATTTTTATAAATCGTTTTTTACTGTCACTTTTACAATGTATTTGTTTAACTTGATTCATTATTTTTGTATTCAGTCATCTTTAAGCAAGTGTATATCAACTGGGAATAACAAAAGTACTAGTCATTGTGTTATACAGTATGTCTTATTTCCTCCACATATTATTTCCAAGTTACAACCTCTTGATAATGATGATGTTAATGAAAATACAAAAACAAAAGTAAATGATGATAACAGATCATTACTATATTCATCAGACGAAGAAGAAAAGTATAAAAAACAAGAAATAGCCAATAATATAGAATCAATTAGTGGGGCTATATCATTTGTTGAAGATGATTATCAGTTAATTACTGAATGTTGGATTGAACCACAACATGGATCAGTAATTGTTAATGGAGAAAAAAATAACAAATACATGTCAGGGTTATCGTATGAACAACTACCAGATGCAGTAAGTAGTTCCTATAAGTGTTTTTTTTATATTGCTGCTTTTAAATTTTATTCTGAAAACTGTATAATTAATTATAATATTTTGAACGTCTGCGTTATTTAAACCTATACAAACTTGAAACTTATAAAATTAACTATAATATTAAAAAAAAAAAAAGTACACAAATGATCCAATAAAGTAGAGTTAAGGCATGTTTTAGATTAATATTGATTAATATCTGACAGTGATTAAAATCACTGTCGTAAAACCTTTCAATGTGTATTTGAAACATTAAAAAAAAAAATTAATTTATCTACCAAACATTACATGGTTTTTGACTAAAGAGATTACTTATACGGGATAAGTCAATACAATGTATATATTTTTTTAATCATATATTTCATTAAACAATTGTTAATTTTAAATAGCTTAGAATGATATTAGTATTTTGTTAGCATGCATGATTTTTTGTTTTAATGACTTAACTCTAAAAATCTAGATTTAGTTCATTTTTATTTTTTCATCATAAAGTACATTGTATTACCTTTAATTTTATGTAGGTTTAAAGAAGTCAAGCTTTATAGAATATTATAAAATATTATTAAAACAATTGTATATTATTTGATGATTATGATCCCCTTCGGTAGTTTGATAAATGATAGGATTTAAAAAATAATTATTATTGAAACTAAGGTCTTGTCTTAAATATTACCACTGAATATTTTATTTTGATCCAAATATTATATAGTAAATATATAGTAAGTATAAATATTATATAGTAAGAACTGTTTATTATGTCCACCAAAAATTTTGTGAATTTTGTTTTAGAGTCTGAATAAAACTTACTCATAGAAAACAAGTCGTTAGATCGTCTTTATTATTATTAACGTATAATACATAAAAAAAATATTTTTAGCTTCGATGCGAATCTGAGAAGGTATTAATTTTACTATGATGTGTTTTTTTTTCTTTTTTCTTTTTTTTTTTTTTTTGTCTGTTACCACTTTTTCTCAGCTCTCCCCGAACCGGTTTCTTTCAATGATACGTCAAAA